CATTCCACCATGTATGAAACATAAAAGTGTGACCCATGTAGAGGTGGGGGAGGAAGAATAGAATAGTAGAGTTGGAAGGGACCCTGGGGTCATCTAGTCCAACCCCCTGCAATGCAGCTAAAAAGAAACCTTGGCAGATGGCCATCCAACCTCTGTTTAAAAAACATCAGAAAGGGAAAGTCCACCAGCTTCCCAGGGAGTCTGTTCCATGGCTGAAGAGCTCTTACCACCAGAAGGTTCTCCCTAATGTTTTGCTGGAATCTACTGTGGAAGGGAGTTCCATAGTTTAACTACGTGAGACGTGAAAAGGACTTTCTTTTATCTGTCCCGAATTTTCTAACCTTCAGCTTCCACGAGTTCTGGTGTTATGAAAGAGGGAGAAAAACTTTCCTCTCTCTGCTTTCTTCACTCCATCCATAATTTTATAAACTTCTACCATGTCCCCTGTTAGTTGCCTTTTCTCTGTTGTTGTTGTTGTTGTTTAGTCGTTTAGTCGTGTCCGACTCTTCATGACCCCCTGGACCACAGCACGCCAGGCCCTCCTGTCTTCCACTGCCTCCCACAGTTTGGTCAAACTCATGCTGGTAGCTTTGAGAACACTGTCCCACCATCTCATCCTCTGTCGTCCCCTTCTCCTTGTGCCCTCAATCTTTCCCAACATCAGGGTCTTTTCCAGGGAGTCTTCTCTTCTCAGGAGGTGGCCAAAGTCTTGGAGCCTCAGCTTCAGGATCTGTCCTTCCAGTGAGCACTCAGGGCTGATTTCCTTAAGAATGGAGAGGTTTGATCTTCTTGCAGTCCATGGGACTCTCAAGAGTCTCCTCCAGCACCAGAATTCAAAAGCATCAATTCTTCGGCGATCAGCCTTCTTTATGGTCCAGCTCTCACTTCCATACATCACTACTGGGAAAATGAATTGAGCTACATAGTTTTAATTGGATTTTGGGTAACTGTGAAATTGATTGCTGCCGTTTTCAATTTCATTGTGCGGTTCTCTCCCTTACTGGGTCATGCAAAGCACTATTCTGAATAATGCTTTTTGTAGGGTAGGGGCATGGTGCTGTGGCCTAAACCACTGAGCCTCTTGGGCTTGCTGATTGCAGAGTCAGCAGTTCGAATGCCTGCAACGGGGTAGGCTTCCATTGCTCTGCCAACCTAGCAGTTTGAAAGCACACCAGTGCAAGTAGATAAACAGGTTCTGCTGTGACGGGAAGGTAAACGGTGTTTCCATGCACTCTGGCACTCATCACAGTCCTCTGTGTGCCAGAAGTGGTTCAGTCCTGCTGGCCACATGATCTGGAAAGCTGTCGTGGACAAACACCAGCTCCCTCGGCCTGAAAAGCGAGATGAACGCCACACCCCATAGTTGAATTTGACTGGACCTTTACTCTTTTTTTTGACCTATAGGGTAGGGATCACTGGGGGCACGTTTATGGAACTAAGGAGGTGCAATAAAGTTTGGGAAACACTGCTATAAATAGTCCTCCCATGAGTTGGGAGGAACCTTCTTCCAAGAGAAAATAAAACATAATTTATCTCTAAGCAAGTTATTTCAAGACAAGGGACGGTGCTCGTTCCTGCAACTTGTAATGTCTCTGCCCAGGAGAATATCTCATGTCCTTTTCCCCAGTCCACACTCCTGGGATAACGCACCAGGGTGATTTAAGAATAACCATGACAATATTGGGACGCGGGTGGCGCTGTGGGTAAAAGCCTCAGCCCCTAGGGCTTGCCGATCGAAAGGTTGGCAGTTCGAATCCCCGCGGCGGAGTGCGCTCCCGTCGTTCGGTCCCAGCGCCTGCCAACCTAGCAGTTCGAAAGCACCCCCGGGTGCAAGTAGATAAATAGGGACCGCTTACAAGCGGGAAGGTAAACGGTGTTTCCGTGTGCGGCTCTGGCTCGCCAGAGGCAGCTTGTCACGCTGGCCACGTGACCCGGAAGTGTCTCCGGACAGCGCTGGCCCCCGGCCTCTTGAGTGAGATGGGCGCACAACCCCAGAGTCGGTCACGACTGGCCCGTACGGGCAGGGGTACCTTTACCTTTACCTTTTATGACAATATTACTATTGCTATAATTAATATCAACAGGGAAAGGTACAGATGCAGCATCTGAAATTCCAGTTCAGCTTTGTCAGGGGAAAAAGCCTTGACTCATTTCCAACGGGGTGTGGGAAAGCCAGGAGCACAGCCATTTTCTAATCTCCTGCCTGGGCAAGAGGCAATTTATCAAGGCCAGCAAGCAGAAGGCTTGGTCTGTGAGCCTAAGGGGTGGAATGGCCTGGGATCTTTTTTGCGTGGGCTATGTGAGATTACAGTTACACAGGAGCACAACAGCGGACAACGTTGTACTCCAACAGCAACAGGCAGAGTAGCCTATGGTTCGAGGTGATGGGGTGTTTTTTTGCAGTGGCACAGAGCTGTTTTCTTTGCAAAATGCACAATCCCATATTGGACTGCATCTTCCGTGCACAAGAACATCACACCCTGTGCAGAGAAGGCTCCCAGATACAGACACACATTTGAGAGGAGGTTTAGGACCTGGACGCTCTGTGCAATTTAGTCTCATTGTCATTCCCTTGCAACCTGACTCATGAACCACTGGACTTCCAGACATGGATAAAGTGTGTCTTTCCCCTCTTACACAGCCATGGTTTGGCCACCTCCTTCCTTCTGGCCCTTCTCTGAGGGAGGCCCACTTCAGCCGCTTCTAAAACGGAATTGATTTCTACCAGAGGCAGGGCCTTCTTTGTGGTGGCACCTTTCCCAAGGAATGCTTTCTCAAATGAAGCTCACCAGGGCCATTCCAATCAGAGCCTTTGGCTCAGTTGGTGCAGCATGAGACTCTTAATCTCAGAGTCATGGGTTTGAGCCCCACGTTGGGGAAAATATTCCTGCATTGCAGGGGGTTGGGCTAGATGACCCTTGTGGTCCCTTCCAACTCTACAGTTCTATGAAAGCTAGGGTTGCCATATTTTGAAGAACAAAAATGAGGATGCTAAGATGACTCTCATTTTAAATACCCCTACTAAAAAGGTAAAGGTACCCCTGCCCGTACGGGCCAGTCTTGACAGACTCTAGGGTTGTGCGCCCATCTCACTTAAGAGGCCAGGGGCCAGCGCTGTCCGGAGACACTTCCGGGTCACGTGGCCAGCGTGACAAAGCTGCATCTGGCGAGCCAGAGCCGCACACGAAAACACCGTTTACCTTCCCGCCAGTAAGCGGTCCCTATTTATCTACTTGCACCCAGGGGTGCTTTCGAACTGCTAGGTTGGCAGGCGCTGGGACCGAGCAGCGGGGATTCGAACCGCCGACCTTTCGATCGGCAAGCCCTAGGCGCTGAGGCTTTTACCCACAGCGCCACCCGCGTCCCGCAATACCCCTACTATATGTAGGCTATATAAGCTGTGGTATATTGCTGAAGGGGGTAGGAGAAGAGGAGAGGAGAGCAAGTCTTCAAGTTATGTCTATGTCTCATCCAAAAAACAAGGCCAGAGACAATTAAAAAATCCACCCGGACAGAAATTTTACTCCCGAAAAAGAGGGTGTGTCCTGGAAAAAGAGGACATATGGCAACCCTAAGAAAGCAGCAATGTATCTGTTGATCAGTCGATCTCACCAGACCTCTGGGATCTAGTAGCACAGGGTTGTTGTTGTTGTTTTAAATTCTGCTGGGAATTTTTATTTATTTTTGCATTTCCCACCAACTTTTATTACTGACCAACTGAAAAAGGAAACCCCGAAGACTGTAATGAGACAATTTATATATGCATTTATTTTTATTAAAAAAACAAAGAAGACAAATTGGAAATACATTACAAATGGTGTAGACATTACAAATTGTATTGGAGCAACACGGCGGACTGCAACTATGCATCAAATCGGGTTGGGTGGAAAGCACACGCCTGATGTTTTTTTACCTTTCCCTACAGGAAGGAATCCTCCCCCCCCCCCGCAAGAGGGGCGATGTTCCGATCCAAGGAATGCCGTGCATTATTTAAAATCACGATTGAAAATATTTTAGCAACACCTGGTTGCCTCATAAATTGGAATCATGCAACAAAACGACAGCGTTAGGGTGAGAGGAAGCCCAGTTCTGAGCACCCAAAAAGCGTTCCTAACAGGTAATATCGCTCTGCTCTGCTAAACGGAGAAGGTCTCCCATGTTGGGTCCTGCGGGGGGTGCCTCTGTGTCATAGGCATGAATGCTAAGTGGAGTCACTTAGGAATCAGGTTCGAATCCTGGCATCTCCAACTAAGGCTGGGAATGTGTCCTGGAAAGCTGCTGCCAATCAGTGAAGACAATTGGCGGATGGACCAATGAGCTGGCTTTCCAGGTTCCTGGCAGGGGCGGACTTTGGTAATATGGTGCCCTGAGCGAGGACAACATTTGGAACCCCCCCCCCCAAAAAAAATTATTATTTTCACAATAATTTGTTATTTATTTATTGTTATTTTGTGGCCTCTCGGCTCAGCTCCCTGTGCAAGGAAACTGCTGGCACCACCATAAATTCAGCACCGTTCCAGGCACCATTTTATCCCAACATTTTCTGCAACGAGTGCCTAGGGTGGAATTAGTGTTTATCGCAATAAAAGACCACAAGAGAGTGAAGGGCCTTTATGCTTCTTGATTTCAAGTGTGTAGAATTGTAGCCAGCATGAATGGAGCTGAAAACTTGCTAACTAGGGATATGTGTAAAGGGGCATATATATATATATATATATATATATATATATATATATATATGCAGGTTTTGGTGTCCTCGGGTGTCTTCCCGTGTAAAAGTTGGGGTGTCTAGGCGACGTTTCGACGAGGTCTCACTCGTCATCTTCAGGCTGGTGCTTTCGGCCGAAAGCACCAGCCTGAAGATGACGAGTGAGACCTCGTCGAAACGTCGCCTAGACACCCCAACTTTTACACGGGAAGACACCCGAGGACACCAAAACCTGCATTCCTGTACCCGTGAAAATCTACGAAAGCAAATATATATATATATATATATATATACACCCTGAAGTAAAAACTCAATTTACATGCTCTCTCTCGCTCTCTCTAACACCACACACACATTTTTCAAAGCCCGGACGCTGTGACAGAACATAACAAGGCATTACATTTTTATATTTACAAAGCTTGATGCAGCAAAGAGCCTCTCTAATGAATCTTGCACCCTATGAAAACCAACATTTCCCTCAGGTTCCCCCAACCCCTCGTCTTTTTTATTCTGTTGACGTTCCAGGCAGTGGTTTCTTGTGCCCATCGCTAAAAGGAGCTCGAAATCACTCCTGCCTGTGAAATCTTTCCTCTGCTATAGCTTGTTCTGAGGAAAAGATTGTCCAGGCAAGGCCCATAACCCCACCTGGGCAGCCAGGAGGTGACACCAGCCCTGCAGAGATTTGTCCCGTGAAGGAACAGGCAGCATTGGTATAATACTCTTCCTAACTCTAACCCACCTGGTCGCCCCAAAACTATTTAGAAAGGTGTTCCCACATCAATATGTGCTTGCATGCATCTTGCCAAAGTGAGGTTAGGAGTTGTTGGTACTTGGGAAAAGTAGGATTCAGGCTGCGAAGGCCTTAACGCTTTAATGACTTCCGTGACACACGCTATTCCCCAGTGTAGCCAGAGTGAGGCCCCAAATCCTCAAGCTTACAGCATACTTTGCAAAGCAAATGAACCAAGGGTGGCGTAGCAATTGGGGAAAGCAGAGGAAAAGTGTGGGGGGGGGGAATGGGGGTAGGGAGAAGAAATTCCTAACTGTGTGTCTTGTTCTCTTCTTGCTCTCTTCTTTTTGGTTCTATCAGTCCTTTGTTTATTTATTTATTTATTTTTTGGTTTTTTGGTTGGTTTTTGTAACAAAAAAAAGTCCATTGGCACACCAAGGGGTGGTCGCGCTTCTGCAGGGAGCCTCAAACATTGTCCCTCTGCTTCACCTTGGACAGCTTGACGGCTTCCTCCTCGTCGCATTCGTGTTGGTGAAGGTGGTGCTGAGGCGGTTCGTCATGGCAACCGATCATCAGCTGGTAGACCAGGACGCCGGCCGTGGCTCCGAGGAAAGGAGCCACGATGGGGATCCACCACCAGCCCCTGCCAGTCCTGTGAGTGGCAAACACAAGGAAATGGATGGGTGAGATAGGAAGGTCGGCCAATCTGGCATGTCCGGGTTGTGTGCTTCTTCTCTTTATTCTATCCAAAATTGCCTCAAGGCCCATTTCTCCTCTCAGAAGACACTGCCTGTCCCATCCCAGGAAGCACTCCCCATCCGGTGACAGCCTCTCCTGTTAGTAATTTCCCCTAAAAGTAGACCTGATGTCCAAGGACACCTGGAATTCAGCTTCATGTCTCCCCGTTTTCAAAAAATTAGGAAATATAACTCTAACTCAACCATCCTCTATGGAGCAATCCCAAACTCCTCCCTCTCACAATGGCAGCTGGTATGTGAGACTCCATGGATGGTGTCAACCTCGAAAATATCTCTCAGGAGGTCAGCCAAGGACTTGCTTGCAATTAAATTGTCCTCAGATCCTTCCTAGGCGCATAGACCAGGACTATGTCTTGACAGGGATATTGAGCCTCGGATACTAACTTTCCATCATTAAAGGCTCCTCCAAATTTTAGGAAGGCAGATCAAAGTCCAAAAGCCACCCATAAAAGTCTCCAGTTGCTGTCAGTGTGTCCCAGTAAAAAAGAAAACCAAAAACCACTGAAAGTGCTTGAGCTTCAGATGCCTCCCCAAAGTTGTGGACTACAATTCCCATCATCCGTGACTGCTGGCTATGCTAGGTGGGGCTGATCAGACCTGGAGTCCGAAACTGCTGGAGGGCAGCTATTTATGTGATAGCACCTCCAAAACACCAGCCTTTGTAACAATAGCAGTTGTGATGTTCCCAAGCCAGAGTTCATTATTACAAGCTCCCTGTTCATGAATGGAAATTTAAATGAAAACAAACGCAAGTCTTGTTGATGACGTTTACTGCAAGGATGAAGAACCAGCCCTGCAGCTCTTACGTGCCTAGGCTACCATGGGCAAGGCCAGGGATGGTGGGAGTTGTAGTCTAGCAACCTCTGGAGGACCACCCATGATCTACTGTGAAGGCACATCAACTTACGTGAAAACCTCTGAGCCCCAGCCAGCAATGGCAGTGAAGAGACGAGGTCCAAAGTCTCGAGCCGGGTTGACGGCATATCCAGAGTTGAAGCCCATGGATGTTCCAATGACCAAGATGACAAAGCCAACGGTGAAAGCCTCCAGTCCTTTGGGGACTGGGTTGTTGTGGGGGTCCACGATAGCCAAGACGCACACGAGCAGGGCTGCTGTGCCGATGAACTGAGAAGGAGAAGGGGAAGGAGGAAGAGATGAGAATCTGGTCTTCCTCCGCCTCAAAATGTCTCCCTGTTGCACTTCTTACAGCATTCGGGCTCTTTTGGCTCGGAATGCCTTACAAAAGCCCTCCCATTCTTACCTGGTCAAAAAATCCATTGACGGGGGTCAAGTGCTTTGAAGGGTAAGTAGCAAATATCCCTGCGGTGGCGTTTTCACCGGTGACTAATAGCTGGTCCCCACCAAAATCCCAAATAGCATCTAGAAAAAAAGGAAACAAAGTAGACATCTCATCAAAGCCTTGCCACCATTCCCAGTTTCTTTATATCATAAATATATGGAGAAGATTATTCTTACTCGTGAGGGGGGATATATCAGTAGATAGGGTACAGCATAGATGGGGATCCTGTGCTCCCCCAAAGGGTTGGTTTTTTAAAAATTATTTGTTTTTAAGAAACAAAGCTGGCTATTGGGGGGGGCGGGAATCATCACACACACCCAAGAAGTTGTTGGACTACAACTCCCATCATCCCTTGGTCAGGCTGGCTGGGGTTAGTGGGAATTGGAATGCAACAGGACCACAGGAAATTCCCCATCCCTGAATCCCAGTGCACTAACTGGGGGGACTCTAGGCAAAGACTCAACATTAAAGGCAACAGGACCTCAATGTGTATTCCTTCAGCTCAGTTGCAGCTGTTCGTGATTCCCTCATTCTAATGTTGAGGTCTGTAAGGTTCTATGGAAACTGGGTTATTCCCCCACTAGGGCCAAGATCTAAACACCGTTCACTTTGCATGCCCACCAAAGGAAAGAGGAGCCCCACCAGAGGAGACCAGAGGAGAAATGATGCAAAATACCGTATTTTTTGCTCTATAAGACACACTTTTTCGCTCCTAAAAAGTAGGGGGAAATGTGTGTGCGTCTTATGGAGTGAATGCAGGCTGCGCAGCTATCCCAGAAGCCAGAACAGCAAGAGGGATCGCTGTGCAGTTTTCAGAATATTTTTTTTCTTGTTTTCCTCCTCCGAAAACTAGGTGCGTCTCATGGTCTGGTCCATCTTATAGAGCGAAAAATACGGTAATTCCTGCCCTGAATTAAACTCCCATGTCCTAAAACTCTTATGAAGGAACTGTGTTAATTTCAAGTCCCCATTACTATTCCAGATCTAGGTCAGAAGGAAAGGCAGGTTCCAGAGGCTCAGGAAGACATGCTCAAACCATGCGCTTGCTCACTTACCATGGTACAAGCCGAAGACGATACCCGCTCCCAGGAATGCCCCGATGGTTTGTGCTAAGGAATAAATAGGCAGCTTGAGCCAAGGTTCCCGGGCCATAAGGCACATGGCGAAGGTGACAGCAGGGTTCAAATGGGCACCTGTGGAAAAATGCCATGGTTAGGGTGCTTGTTTTGTTTCCAGGCATGCATAAGATGGAGAGGGCTTTGCACGGCAGAGAGCTGGGCTAGGTGACCCCTCCAACTGTACAATTCTATGGTTCTAAGGCTGCTCATATTACTGGGGATATCTCATAGGTGGTGCAACCCTCCAAGGATCAGGGATCCTTCTCGTGACATGACTAAACGTGTCAAAGTCTTGACGCAAAGGTTGCTTCTTGGAAAGAGGACAAGTTTGTTTCAGGGTAATGCAAAGCTGGAGCAAGTTTAATTTATGTCTAATTTAAACCACTTAAACCCCTGCCTCAATTATGCAAAGTAAGCTACTGCGCAAGAGTTCTCTCATCACACATGACTTAAATTTAAATGCATGTCTGCTTTAATATTAGATAAATTCATGTTAAGTCCATATCCTGTGAAGTTTCCTCCCAAGTAAGTGAGCCTACGGCTGCAGCCTTCAAGTGCTGCTCTCAGTTCCTGGAAGGCACAGGGAATACCTACTCACAGACAGTAAGATTCAGGCGGACCTAAATTCCACAATAGGAGGTCCTTAGTCAACTGTGGCCAAATCTGTGTCCTATCATAAAGTTCAGGCACATACCAGAGATCTGTCCAGCGATCAGAATTCCAAGAGTCACAGCAAAGCCAAAAGCCAGGTTGATGGTCAGGAACTGTCCGTTTTTTCCACCGCTGAGTACAGACTGGGCCACTGAACCACAACCAAACACCTGAAAGGAGAAAGAAAATCCTGGTCAAATCCAGTTTGGTGGATCACATCCTCTAGCAGCACCAAAGTATAACTTTGCTTTAAGAAAGCCGTCCATTGATTTCCCTTACTATTCTTCAGGCATTCTAAGAGGTGATCCTGCTGCAGATGTTCACTAACCACATTCTCAGGTGTAAAACCTTCCGTCCTAAACTGAGCTTAGGAAAACCCAGTTTAGAGTGTTTACAGCGGAAGTTGGTTGTGTACAGCACTGATTGGCGGGAAGCAGTGATGTCACTAACTCATGCCTTCTGTCCTGGAGCAGTTTTTCAAAATGTAAACTGTTGACTCTGATTTCGTTGGGGGATTTGCGTAGTTGTTGTTTTTGTTTAGTTTTTTTAAATGCTTATAAGTGGTGTTTTAAAAATGATGAAGGAATGGCAGCCCACCTGTAACATGCAGGTGGGGCAAGACAGTCTATTGAATTAGCTGATGGTTTGCTGGCTAGCGCAACTTTTGCAAACTTGGAATGAAGGCAGGCTGAAGATTTAAAATCAAAACCAAACAAAGATTCCCTTTTTTGCATCTATGCACTACAAAAAGTGCCATAAGAGAAGTTGATCTCTCACATGGATTTAAATATATTGTTGATCTTGTTGTTTTGATTAGTAGCCTGTAGGTTGGATCTAGAGCTATGGATTTAAATATCCTCCAAAATATCACAATTCAGAAATAGAAAAACTTTTGTGTCAATCTGCTGAGCCACGAATCATGCAGATCTTCACAAATCCAATCATTTTAGGGTACTTCCAGACACTTATGTATTGAGCATTCACCTTAACTTGTTTGTGGGGAAATCAGAGAAGTTCTGCTTAATGTCTCTACTTTCAGGGAGGCTAGACAATGTTGCCTCCTCAGTCCCACTGAAAGCACCAGGGGGGAAACCACAGAACATCCAAGAACTGCAGCCTGGCTCAGCTTGGAATGAATTATCATTCTGCCACATTATCGCACAACCCACATGGCAGGTGGGCTTCAACAGCTGCTGACAACAGAATCGACGGCCGGGTATAAAACAAAGATATATTCACTGGGCACACAGGAATCAGCCTGATATTTGAGACACAGGATCCGGCCATCTGATTGGCACACATGCCATATACATTAGCAAAGCTACCAATCCAAATATCTCAAGATGGACAGTAGAATAACCAAGCAACAGAGCTGCATTTCTTCAGGCTGCAGAATTCCACATTTCCTGCTGCACAGTTTCGATTAGCTTGGCACAGAATGTGGACTTTAGTGATTTTGAAGTACGCTGTATGCACAGCATAGTGGATAAGTTTATCAGCCTGCCTACTGAAAAGAACTTTTATTTGTGCATTATGCAAGCTAGTCCTCTGTTTGCCCTTATGATTAGGGTTCCTCCCCTTCCTTAAACAGACAAAGTGGTTCCCCCCCCCTTCTCTGTTTTTCTGCTCCTTGTCGGTCGCAAAGAGCTCTGAAGGGTTATTTGTCCTTCAACTTTGTCCTACGACCTCTGAATCAGTATTGGACAAACACACACACACAAAAGTCTTTGCAGTGTGTATGCTCGACTAGCCCAGAAAGAATGTTATCGCCCAAAGTCACAACTTCCCTGTGAGGGAGGTCAAGGTGACGAAGCATGAAGTGCAAACAGCCTTTGCAAGCCAGCCTTAACCGCAGAAGCAGGGGCCGATTCAAAGCTTCCGGGAAAACTGGATTCTTTTGAACAATGAAACCTGGCTCAGTCGGAGTTGCTCAAGGCTTTTGTCAAATATCGAGGCTCTGAGACCTTGAATGAGAGAACGGCCTCACATAGTGGGAGGTGAGAGATGGAGATTAAAAGGAGTGACTGACAAGCCACAAACCCCCGTATTTCTTGAAACTTATTTCCTCCTGAGCCCAATGTTGCTAAGAGCCATAGCTGTCAACGTTTCCCTTTTTTTAAAGGGAAATTCCCTTATTCTGACTAGGATTCCTCGCAAGAAAAGGGAAAAGTTGACAGCTATGATAAGAATTGATGCTTTTGCATTATGGTGCTGGAGGAGGCTCTGGAGAGTCCCATGGACTGCAAGAAGATCAAACCTATCCATTCTGAAGGAAATCAGCCCTGAGTGCTCGCTGGAAGAACAGATCCTGAAGCTGAGGCTCCAAGACTTTGGCCACCTCATGAGAAGAGAAGACTCCCTGGAAAAGACCCTGATGTTGGGAAAGATGGAGGGCACAAGGAGAAGGGGACGACAGAGGACGGGATGGTTGGACAGTGTTCTCGAAGCTACCAGTGTGAGTTTGACCAAACTGTGGGAGGCAGTGGAAGACAGGAGTGCCTGGCGTGCTGTGGTCCAGGGGGTCACGAAGAGTCGGACACGACTAAACGACTAAGCAACAAAACATGCTAAGAGCTCACAGGAAACTTTTGTCCCAGAGTAGGGGTCAGCCCAGAGATTTACGGAGCCTGGGGTGCAAAGTCTAAATGGCATCCCAGATGGTGTGCCACCCATTTGCGCAATTTAGAGCACAATTTATCAGAGTGTTTTTCCATATAAAAAGCATTAGGAAGGGAACGGACAGCTCTCCTTCATCCACAATTCCACTTTCCCATGCAAGAGGTTTTTCATTTGCACCAACATTTCCTCCAGGAAAGCCCACTGTTTACTGCTGAATCATCACAGACATCAGTCGGGTTTTCTGAAGATTGACATTTGTTCCGATTCAGCAGCAAACGTTGGGTTTTCCCTGGGAAAACGGCAAGGCAAAGGAAAAACCTCTCGTTCGGGACAAACAGAATAAAACATGGGCCACATGCAAGTGTGGAACAGCCCTCCGTGGTGATTGACAGGAGGACTGCCCAAGGGAGAGCGCCCCCATGGGGCAGATCCGTCTGTGTTTGCCTTTCTCCAGAGCTGCTCTTTTTGAAGAACAGCCAAGCCTGCTCTGATCACAACTCTCCTTTGTTGCGGTGCCTAAACAACAGCAAATACCAGCTAATGCTAATCCAACCTGCCAAAATCAGTCAGCTAGGCAATCCATCACAAACACCCAGATAAAAACACGAAAGGCTGACATTTAAAGGAACAGAGGTTCTGAGCTCCTAGTGAGGAGATCCCTTCACACAAAGAGGAGGTGGGAGATCAGTTCACCTTAAAGTTTAAAAAGCTAGCGCCCTGGAACCAAGAGGGCTTTGCTTGCCACTGGTAATGACTGCAGCACGCATTCTGCAAATCTCTGCTGGTGGCCAGTGTGTTGCAGCTGGAGAAGGCCATAGTTCAGTGGCAGAGCCTCTTCTTTGCATGCGGATGGTCGCAGGCTTAATCCCTGGCTTCTCCAAAGAGGCCTGGGAGAAAACCTTGCCCGAAAGCCCAGATACAGTATGTGCTGCCAGTCAGTGCAGACAATACTAGCTAGATGGCGCAGCTCAGAAGAAGGCAAATTCCTGTGCTGCTATGCTGCTCAGGTCTTTTCAGGAGGTGGGGCTTCGGTGCAAGTGAACAGAAGTGCAAACCTTTTCGGATTGGCTAAAAGAAAATCTCTTTTAAAGTAAGCAAATTTGAGTACAACTGTGAGTTTCTTTAACCTTTGGAAGAGGATGGGTTGGAAGAAAAACCTTCCAAGCCTGCCACCTGCACAATGCAATCTTCCCCAACCTGGTGCCCTCCAGGTGTATTTGATTACCGCTCTCAGGCTGGCTGAGGCTGATAGCATCCTCTCCAACATTTCTCCAGGGACAAGAGGGACGTCCTATTCCACACACCCAACATTTCTTCAGTGAAAATAGGGACATCGAAAAGCAGGACTTTAAGGATGAAATCACAAACAGAGGTGGCTTCTGTAATTCTGGGATTGTCCCTGGAGATCAGGAAAGATGGAGGGTCTGGAGACCACCAGGATGGTTGAAGCTGTCATAGTGCATCGGATTTGGGGGCTAAATTGAGGGGAGAAAACTTGTGTGTGTGTGTGTGTGTGTGTGTGTGCGCGCGCGCTAATCTCTGCTCTTGAATGTGGTGCCTCATTAATCTCTCTGTGACCACAGTAAAAAATCCAAATGGCCTGAGTATGAGCAAGTCTGGGATAAATCATATCATAAGAACATAATGAGAGGATCCTACTGGATCAGGCCAATCGTATCCTGTTCCAACAGTAGCCAACCAGATGCCTGCAAGCACAAGAGCTCAATTTCCCCTCTTGTGGTTTCCAGAAACTGGCATTCGGAAGCATCGCTGCCTCCAACTTCCTCTGTGTTAGGAAGCCACCTTCAGATCACTGTCTTAACAACAAGCAGCTTTGGTGGGGAGGGAAATCCCAGATGTTTGCCTTCCCCCTTTGAACTCTCCCCTCCACTAAAAAAAAAACTTTCTTCCAGATGTCACTACAAAAGATCTGGACACTTTAGCAAAGGCAGGAAAAGAGAGCGGCGGATTAAGAAGCGACTTCCAGGCAGGACTTTATCCCTGCATCTGTTTCAGAAGCAAATAGTGTTCGCCACCAGAGAACAAAGTGGGGCATCTGGCAATGCAAACAGGCCAGCACCCCAAGATTTGAGGGCAGAAGAGGTTAGGGATCAGCTGCACAGCACAGGACCCTCAGAGAGGTGCAATATCATAAGTTCTACTGATGCATAAGGTCTGCACCCTTGCAGTTGCAACTCAGCACAGCAAGTCCTGCAGAGAGCTGCACTGGTGTTCCCATGCAGGCACAGCTGCCCAAACAATGGATTCAAATGACAAGGAAGGAGATTTCGATTAAACATTGAGGAGAACTTTCTGGTGGCAAGGGCCATTTGACAGTGGAACTGACCCGCTTGGAAGGTGGTGCGTTCATTTTAAAAACATTCCATTTCAAACAGAGGCTGGATGGCCCATCTGTCAGGGGTTCTTCAGCTAGGATTCCTCAGGGTCCCTTCCAACTCTACAAATCTGTGATTCTATAACTTTCTTATTGATGCAAATATCCAGCATAGTTGCATCCAGATCAAGATCACAGCAGAAGGCGACAAAATTT